TCAATCTCAGAAATGTAACGAAGGGAAAACACCATTTTTTGAGTTTTCAGTACATTAAGCGTTAATCTGTTTGAAGTAAACCATTCACTAGCAGCATTAATATCTTGTTCCATCCTGTCCAAGAGAGACGGGATGTCTGAGTCCACACTATAGCAAGTAGTGTCATCCGCAAAAAGTATGATTTTATTGTCTAGATGTTTAGCCAAGTCGTTAATGTATAACAAAAAGAGCAACGGACCTAAAATCGAGCCTTGTGGCACTCCTATGTTAACTATTGTCATTTCGGAGTATACATTATTAAACAGAACAACCTGCTGGCGATTGTGGAGAAAACTAAAAATAAGCTGTAAGGCTCCATTTGACAATCCGTACAACTCAAGCTTGTTTATTAGAATGTTGTGATTAATACTATCGAAAGCTTTTGATAGATCACAAAATGTGCATCCTAAGAATTGTTTTGTTTCGAAACAGGTAATGACCTCATCAACAAGCCTATTAATAGCCATGGTTGTACATTTGCCATGTTGGAAACCAAATTGGCGTTGGTTCAATATGTTTTGTTTAGTAACGTATTCCTCAAGTTGTTTAAGCATAATCTTTTCTAAAATTTTCCCAAAAATAGGCGTTATAGAGATTGGTCTATATTTATCAACATCATCTACGTTGCCCTTTTTGTGGATAGGGATTACTTTGGTCACCTTGAGACAGGATGGGAAAAGATTTTCATTAATACACCGATTGATCAATCTTGTGAGTGGAAGTAGAATGAGATTCTTAATATTCCTAACAATAGTGATACTTATGTTGTAGTAGTCCTTACTTTTCTTTTTTTTGATGGAATCAATTGTATCTCTTACTTCATTAAATGTTATCTCTCTGAAATTGAAAACAGAGTTCACCGGAGTCAAATTTTTGTGCATTAGCTGAATTGGATCCGTATTTGATAATTTTAAATTATTCTCCAAATTATGTGGGATATCACCAAAAAATGTAGAGAAGTCCTCCGCAGTCAGTTTTTCTGAATAATTATTGCTACTAGCTAATCGTTTGCTATTGATTAATTTCCAGCTGTCCTTTGCTACATTAGTAGAATTTTTAATTAGGTTGTCATTAAAGGTTTTTTTTCTTTTCTTAACTTCGGTTCTAAACAATTCTCTATATTTTTGAAAATAGGTCACAAAAGTTGGGTCATTAGAATTTTGATTGTGTAATTCGTGTAGCAGGTCTACATTTTGTTTCATTTTATGTAATTTCTCATCATACCAGTAAATATCATCCTTTTTAACATTTTTTATTCTTTTTACTTTTATAGGAAAGGCCATGTTTACTTTATCAGAAATTAATTTGGTGAATAAGTTAAATTTGGTATTTGTATCAAGTCCAGCATCATTGATAAAATCAAAATTGCAATCACTAATAATATTAAAAAAATTAAAGAATCCTACTTCCGTAAAAGGTTGATATGATACAACTTTCGAGCAGTCTTTTGACTTATGACGATTATATAGAATTTCTACAGTAGCAGCACGATGGTCAGATAAATGAGTCTCCATGACCTGGTGCCTACAATCATGTGCGATATTTGTAAGTATATTATCAATACACGAATTTGCTCGCGTGTTCTCAAAGATTAGAGGTCTCAAATTATAAGATTTTAAAAAGTTAAGGAACTCTAGAGTCTGTTTGGTTTTGCGGTCAAAATGTATGTTAAAGTCTCCATTAATAATAACATCTGAATCGATTATATTGATAAAATTAAATAAATTAGTCAAATTAGAGTATAAAACTTCCAGATTGCCTTTTGGTGCTCTGTATACAGTTATTATGATTAGTTTAGGTTTATTAACTTTAATGGCTGCAAGCTCAATGTCAATTACATTACAAAACTTTGAAACATCAATAACTTGGTATTTAATTTTATCGTTTACTAGTATCACAACACCGCCATAACCATTATCTTTCCTGGTATAGGCAGAGGCTATCTTAAAACTACCCAATTTTAATAAATCCAACTCATAGTTTGTTAACCAATGTTCTGTAAAACATAAAACATCATAAGATTCTTCAATGTTATGTAAAACTACCTCTACTTCATCAACTTTGTTCCTAATCGATTGTACATTTAAATGGAAAATTGAAAAATAGCTATCACTAACTACCGCTTTACTCGTTAATTTTTTTTTTTCTTGTTGATCTATATTTATTTTTAATAAAATTCAATATAGAAAAAGCTCCTTCAGCTTCGCAACAGGTCACTGGCAATGTCAAGAAGATCTTAACTACTGTGTACAGATTCGGGAAAATGACAATTAGGTTTTTTTTTTAAAATGCAGTCGAGTATATCTGAACATGTTACAGTATACGTTTCTGAGCTAAGTGAGCAGAAATTTTTAAATATTCCTTAAATTGTAAACATTCATTCTAATTCGATGTCCTCATTGTAACACTGTAAAATACAGTCAACGCTGTATTCGACAATATGTGCTACGTGTTTGTTTGTAAGGTCCGTTAAGAATTTGAATTTCTTCCCTAATTCATTATATACATCTTTTCTTCTGGTGAGTTCGGTTATTAAAGTGTCCAAGAATCGATTAAGAACTTTCACGAGAAATTTCTCACGACCTTGTAGTGGACTAGTCCCTGTTGTGCCGTCCGAATATTTATAAATTTTAATTCTATTCTTCGCATTACTATAATTTTCTTCCACTTTACTGCTAAACCCCTTCGCTCGCAATTCATAGTTAATTAATTTCTCATTAGATTTTTCTCTGAGAGATTTGATAAATATTTCTAGAGATGTTATTAAGGCCTTCGCACAAATCTAATCCAGGTTCTTGTAAGTTTTTACTGACTTTGTTAATCCTTTCAAGAAGTTCTTCCCAGACGACAGTCAATATAGCGATTTCTAGTTTGTATAGCTTACCTAATATTTTTTTCGCTTCCATCTTGCAGTATTTTTTTTCTAAATTATCATTAATAATAGTTTCTAATGTGGTTGCAATTAAGCTATAACTTGTTTTTAACGAGTGAACAGCCTCGTATCGACTAGACCATCTAGTTTGACTCCAACCTTTAACTGAAAGTGGCAGTTTTACATGTTGATTTAACAAATTCCACCGGTGAGGTGAAGCCGAAAAAAACACGTACAGTTGTTGTACAACCCCAAAGTAGCTGATTACATCGGATACGACACTTGCAGCTTCGACTCCTATCAAATTTAAAAAGTGAGCTGCACATGGTACATAATCCGCGAACTTGTTAATTTCCTTAACACGTCCTTGAAGTCCATTATATTTTCCATTCATATTCGCAGCATTGTCGTAAGACTGCCCTCGACAATTTTTCATTGAAAGACAATTTTCTTCTCAAAAATAAATGTATTGTATTAAAAAATTCTTTCCTGTGTGACTGTCAATTGGTATAAATGATAAAAACCTTTCAAAAACGTTTCCTTGGGAAGTGTATCTCAAAATAATTGCCAGTTGGTCCGTATGTGACAAATCTGGAGTAGAATCCACAATAATTGAATAATATTTTGTATCTGCATCGTTTATGTCCTCAATAATTTTTTTTCTTACTTGAGTTCCCATTATGTCGATTATCTCTTCATAAACCGTTTTAGACAAGTAACTTGCAACTAGTTGTTCGGTTTGGCATTTCGCTACATGTTGTTTCAAAAAAGGATCAAATTCGGCAATAAGTTTCATAAGTCCCATAAAATTTCCATTATGTGATGAACCCCATTTTACATCATGTCCTCTAAATGACAATCCTCTTTCACTTAAAAATTTAATAACTGCCACAACTCGCATCAGGACATTGTAATAATATTCCCAGTCATTTTTTATTTTTTCCTGAAGATGCCTGTCAACAACGTTTTTGTTTTCTTTGCAGGATAACCAGGTTAACAGCGCCTTTTTGTGATCCTGAGATTTTTCATGACTGTTCAAAGTACGAACTATGTTTGCCCAATCTGAATAACCACTCATCAAAGATGTTTGTGTTCTGGGGAATAATTTGCACACTACACAGAAAACACATTCTTTGCTTTTCGAATAGGATAACCAAGATCTTATTAATTGTTGCCCAGTTTTTAAACGTTTCAGAAAATATTTGTTTGTAAATTGTCCGCTCTGTCCCTTATAATCCCTGATAGACTCAGGGTAAATATTGTCTTCCCTTTTATTATGAAAAAACGAGCTTTCTTTTGATAAGCAACTTACGATTTGTTTAGCCTCATCTTTAATCATGTTTTCATCGACTGTATCGGTGACGGTGAAGGTTGAGGTGTAAAAGAACTTGGCACTTTTCGACATTTTGCTAGTTCCTGTTCATGTTGAAACTTAAGTTTCCTCTTTTGGCTTCCACTGAGACATTTGCGCTCAGACATTTTATTTAATCAAATACCTAGTGAATAAGTTGTATTATTAATATTTAACAAAACTAAAATAATTATTTAAATACATTAAACACTGTTGATTCCAAAAATGATAATTTGACGCAAACTGAATTGTGGAATTTTTAATTTTTAACACACTGTAATATTGGCAGAGCAGTACACTTTTAAACTAACTGAACGAACAGAAAAGAATGAGGGAGTGAAAACAAAACGTTTTGCTGCACCCATCTGCACCGGGAACTCTTTATGGTATCCCAGATGTAGGTGGCGGACAATTTTTGAACCAATTTCCAAATTGTTACTAAGCAAGATTTAGTATTAAGAAAAGCCTGTCAGTTTTGAAATCATCTTATAAATGCTCTAGCAAATTTTTACATAATCTAATGAGACATATATCCACATTTCCTGTGTTTGGAGTTAACCATTTACGGTCTGATAATATTCTGGAGCCAAATTGTGCTGTCTTGTAAAATATAGAATGTATTCTAACCTTCCTGTCTCTTTTCCATAATTATTAAGAGCAAGAAAAAATTCAGCTATGTGCGTTTATTAAGAAACTGCAAAATTACAATCATGCCACCACATAAAAATGCTTCAGTTTCTAATTTGTCTGCGTTTCATTAAATATCGGCGGAATACCACATTCTATAACAATTTCATTGCGTAAAAACTCGACTATTTCCCTAGTAGTTGACACCTCTAGAGGTGTTCGTCCGTTTGCGTCCAACACGTACATATTTGCACCAGATGCGACCAAAGATTGCACACCCCTGTGGAACCCATTTTCACAGGCTAGATGTAAGGGTGTCTTGCCCAACGTCCCAAAAACATCCAACACTGCCCCACTATCAAGAAGCAGAGTTAATATCAGCAGATTCCCGGATTTACAGACGCTATGTAGCGGTGTGTTGTTAAAGTAGTCTGCAGCGTTCACTTGGGCACCAAACTCTATCAACCGTTCCGTCGCTTCGTAGTGGCCTAAGCTCGCGCAGTAGTGTAGTGGAGTCTTGCCTTCAATGTCTCTACTATCCACAAAAACCCCTTTCTCTATCAAAAAAGTTATTATCTCAACGTCGCCCCCCATACAAGCAGCATGAAGAGAGGTTTTCACAGTCAAATTAACATCGTGTACGGAAGCTCCAATTGCCTCCAAAAGACGTACGATTTCGAGTTGGTTTTTCATACAGGCTAGATGCAAAGGTGTCCACCCTTCAATGTTTTTGGCACCCACGTCGACGTACGTATTCAGCAAAAGTCTGACAGTCGCACCAAGTCCTTGTCGACAAGCCAAATGCAAGGCTGTATTTCCTGAAATATCAGTCGTTTTGGGATCGACGGTTCCACATTTTATCAAGATCGTAGCACACTCCACTTGTTTATTCCGACACGCCAAATGCAGAGGCGTCTCCCCGTTCAAGTCTCTGCCATTAACCTCAGCCCCAGCTCTTATTATCAGCGCCTTAGCAATACTCTGGAACCCCTTCTCACACACTATGTGGAGCGCAGTCCTCCGGCAATAATCCTCCACGTTGACCAAGGACTTCTCTGTGTGCAGCATTATATTCACCACCTTTGTCATCCCGTCTTCGCAGGCTTTGTGCAGAGGTGTCTGTCCCTTTTGGTTTCTAATGTTTAGAAAAGCCCCATTCAGAATGAGAGCCATGACGGTGTTGTATTTGCCCTTTTCACAGGCGTAAGAAAGCGGTGACTGGCCGTCCAAGGTCATGGCGTTTACTTTGGCGCCATTCCGGATTAAGAATTTGACGAGGTTGGGGTCGTCCTTCATGCAAAGCACATGCAAAGGAGTGTTGCAGTATGCGTCGACGGCGTTGAGGTCGGCGCCTCTTTCGAAAAGTGTCAATATGACATCTTTGTTGCCTCTAATGCAAGCTGCGTGGAGTGGGGTTAGTCTTAATCGGCTTCTGACGTGGATGTTCTCACCTTCATCGAGGAGGGAGCTGACCTCGACCCAGTCGTTTAAGACACATGCTGTATGGAGTGAACTCCATTTACCTGAAAATTGAATCGAAGTGGTAATGAAAATGTTTATGGGTAATTGGGTGATTTATGGGACGTTTAATCTGTACACAATGTGGACAGTACTAGACAGTCCAGCAGTTGTAAGTCCATATAATTGACTCTGGACATTTGCTGTACAAATCGACCAAGTTTAAAGTTTGTTCATTTGAGACAATGGAGAAAGTTAAGTCAAGTCGGGTCAGGTCATGTCAGGGCAGGTTATATCAAGTCAGGTCAGGTAATGTCAAGTAGGGTCAAATTTTATCTAACTAGAGTTATTTTTGTGCATACAATATACTTCTTTTATAAAAAATGGGAGCATGAGAGCTGAAAATTTGCTAACAATATAAGAAAACTTTCAGGAATCGACTGCTTTAAACGAAAATGCCGATTCTTGTACCGTTTTGGAGTTTCGTTCCGTTAAATAAAAAAAAGTTGTTTGTTTAACATAAGAATGGCATCTTAATGACAGAGTAATGAAACTGGTTATAAGGAAACAACTGCAATAAATAGAAATGAATGAAGTGGTGAACGATGCGAAACTGGATATATTAGCGATTCCAGAAACAAAAATCTATTTCAGGTTTTGTTTAATGTGAACCTTAGTTCTTGAGATTTATTTTTATTTAAATTTAATTGGTTCGCAATAAACCAATCCTGAGCCAGACAAGTAATCTTAAATTTTTTGTTATCAATATCTTGCTTAGTTTTAAACCTGTAGCCAGAGCTGTTCAGTACTTTAAGTACTTCAAATACTTTGCTCGAAATACTTTTATATTTAGGTACTTGGTACTTGGTACTTGGAGAATTTCTAAATGTACTTCAGTTTAGTACTTGATTTTGCCAAGGACTTTACTTCAAGTACTTCACTCAGTATTTTATATACTCCTGAAGTACTTGAAGTATGAAAGTGGAAACTTCAAATACTTTAGTCTTTATTTTACGAAATTTTCACATCTCAAAATAGGGTGTGTTAAGACTTGAAGTTATTAATTCAATTATTTGATTAGATCTATCTTTATCGTGTTTGTTTCCTGTGAGGTTATATTTTGATCTGTGATTGTGGATATCTTATCCACAATACGACGTATATTTCATAGGTAGTTGCAGGTACCGCATCAATTCGTCGCGCACAATTTGCCGCAGTGATAACTGGTCGCAAAGACAACTGGTCGCAGTCCCAATTCATCGCAACACAATTCGTCGCAAGTACAACTGGTCGCAGGCGAAAAATGATAGCGTTTATAGAGAAAATAAGTAATTGTTATGAATGAGAAAAATAGAATAAAGTACTATATTCTCAAAAATTTCATTATTTCTAAAAAAAGTGTCAAAATAAATATGTACATACGAGTTTCATAAAACAGTAACTATTAGGCTCTTTTCCAACTAAACCAAAGAGCAAAAAAGTGAAAATATTGTAAAATATTTTTTTAAAACTAAGTTTTTATTTGGATAAGTACCTACATTTCTTAGATTTCCCGGTAACACGAAATTATTCTTGACGCTCTAACAAAAGTTTTTGCAATATATTATTATTATTATTATTATTATGTGTGTAAGTTGGTCAACAGGTAATACCCAATTATAGACCAACGGTTAGCGGATCATCAAATTGATCTCTCTCAAACAACAGCTGTAAATTTCTGTTGTCCCTATATAAGGTGAAATCTAAAGTCAACGCCTAATTAGAGATTAATAATTAAAGAGCAGCCAGGAATTTTTACTTAAAGAAATCTAACATGTTTTCATGGCAATTATAGTTAGAGCACATTTCATGTAGAGGAGAGTATTTCTGAATGTCAATCCTTGGCGTCGGCAGATAGAAAAGTTGTTGAAGGCGCGATGATGGCCTGGGAACCCAAAAGTGAAGCTGTTCCAAAAGCTGTGGACAATCGATGCCATAATGTATTAGTTTTTTAAGAAAATATAGAGAAGCTCTGATACGTCTAGTCTTTAAGTCGTTATATCCAAATCTGATCAACAGGTCAGATTGGGGTAGGCCTCTAGGAGGAAGATTAGCGTCTATTTTGAATGCTAAAAACTTGAGAAAACGCCTCTGGATTTTTTCTATAGATTGAATGTAAAATTGAGCTGACGGAGCCCATACAATACTGGCGTATTCAAGTTTTGATCTTACGAAAGCACAATATAACGTATTAAAAGTAATGATGTTATTGAAAGAACTGGACGATCTGATGATAAACCCAAGGGATTTAAACGCTTCAGCAATTATATTACTAATATGTAGAGAAAACGTGAGTTTAGAATCAAACATTATTCCAAGATCTCTGAAGGAATCCACTCTTGATAAGATATTCAAGTTAATAGTGTAATTGAAACTAAGCTTACAACTTTTATTTGTTAGAGACATAATGAAACATTTACCAAAATTTATAGGTAACGTGTTGGATTTACTCCAGTTTTCAAAAGTGTGAATATCTTCCTGTAGAATTTGACAGTCTTCAACATTAATAATATGACGAAAGATTTTTAGGTCGTCTGCGTAAATTAAAACTTGAGAACTAATGTTTTTAATAACATCGTTGATGTAGACATCGAAAAGTAGCGGACCTAGAACAGAGCCCTGTGGGACGCCGGACGGGACCAACATTTTTTCGGATTGATGTTGAAGGTACTTCACGCATTGATATCTATCAGTTAGGTAAGATGCCATTAATTTCAGTAAACAATCGGAGAAGCCAAAGTTGCGTCATTTTATCAGTAGAATTCTGTGGTTGAGTTTGTCAAACGGCCTGGAAAAATCAGTATATATCACGTCCACCTGCTGTTTAGCATCGAAACTATTGGCTACGAATTGGGTGAAACAACTCAAATTCGTTACAGTAGGACGACCACTTATGAATCCATGTTGGGATTCCGTTAACCAATTGTGCACATTAAATGAGAGAAATTTATGAAGAATCATCTCAAAAATCTTTGAAAAATTGCAAATCAATGAGATGGGTAGGTAATTTTCTATTAAATGTCTCTCCCCTTTCTTAAAAATTGGTGAGATCACAGATAATTTCCAGACGTCTGGGAACGATACAGTTTTCAAAATAATATTGAATATAATTGATAAAGGATAAGAAAACACTGAGGCACAGTCATGGAATAAAAAACCTGGTATATTATCATGGCCACTAGTCATATTAGGTTTGATAGTCATCAAGGTTTCAAAGACGTTGGATTCCGTAACCGAAATAAAATTAATGGAATTATTGCTGGACTCATCAATAAACTCATCAATAGAACTTGGACTAAAATCCGAATAACTGGAGTGAAAGTGTTCCATAAAGGCATTTACAATGTCTTTGGGATTACGCAAAATATTATCCAAATAAATCATTTCAGAAGGTATACCAGAACGCATTTTCAGACGACTAATATGCGCCCAGAATTTTTTTGGATCGGTCTTAATAGTGGCTTCCAGATTTTGAGTATACAACTGATACGCGATTTTGATGTCATGTTTAAGCTCGTTACGAATAGTTTTAAAATGCTGTAGATTTAGTTGGTTTTTGTGGGATTTATAGTCATAGTCTCCATTTTCGCTTGATTCTTCTAATAATACTACAAGTGAACCATGGTGGAAACGAATTATTACAATAATGCTGAGATTTGGGTACATAAAGATCCAATATGCTATTAAGTTTGTTATAAAAGAGGCAGCAAGCAGGATTAACATCTTTAACGTTCTCCAAGAAAGACCAACTTATCTCATCTAAATGACGATATAAATTTGGAAAGTCAGCTCTACGAAAATTCCAGCGTTTTTGTGAAGATTTAGAGTTACTTATAACCTTTACTTTTGGTTGATGATATTCCAAAGAAATAAGCAGTGAGGGGTGGTGTGTATCTTCAGGTAGTAGATAATCTTCCGCTTTATCGATATAACACTGTATGTTTGAGAGCACTAAGTCTAAGTATCTATCATTGATGTTGGCGACGCCGTTGCATTGTTTAAGGTCGAGAAAATTTAGAAATGAAATTAAGACAGTTTGTTATTACCAATAACGACGTCTCCTAAGTTTGTGTGATATTCTGGTATATTAAAATCCCCAATAATTAAAATATGTTGATCATGTAGTTGAATTAGATCACTTAATAAATTGAATAATAATGAGAGTTCTTCAATGGCTGTTTTTGGTTGAACATATATTACAAAAATATAGAAGGAAAAATAGTCATAGAGTCATTTAGCACCGATAATGTCAACCGAGTTCAGTTTGTCAAAACCGTGGGAAGATAAGTCTATTTGAGTTATCGAAACGTGTTGTCGGAATGCAATTAATACTCCACCGCCTCTAGTAAGATTTCGTTTGTGAAATCTTCTGTCAGATCTAAGAACATTGAAAATCAAAGGGCATAACTCAGAATTGCTGACCGAGTCATTAAGCCACGTTTCCGAAAGACATATGATATCAAAACAACAAGATAGTAAAGAATTATAGAGATCATTTAATTTTGAATTGATACCACGAGTGTTTTGATAATAAATGGATAAAGAATGCGGCATATAGTTGAAAGAACAATTATTTGTAGAAAGAGTAGCAGCATAAGAAGAATTAATTACATCACCACCAGAATTTAAATGGGATTCATGAGAGTCAGAAGACTCAGAGATCACAAACAAAGTTGGTTGCTATATTGAGACGCCAAAAAGGTCAATTGAGAGTTTCAGGCTTACACTCTTTTAGACCATGACTTTCTGAACAGCGCGGACATATTAACTTGCTCTTACAGGCCTTAGAAGAGTGATTAAACCCATTACAATTAAAACAACGTGAAACGTCTAGTCCGCAGTATATCGAGCAACTATCAAGCCCGATTAAGCAGTGACCAACACTGACCGCCCTTTTGTAAGTGGGTATGTCGACTTCAATTATCGCCTGGTACCTATTATGTTCACTATTCTTAATTTGATAGAATTTTATTAAATTATAATAATTACCTTCCTCAAAAATAAATTCGTTTTGCTTTACTAGGTAATTCAAAATGTTGTCTTGATCGATCTCATTTGATACCCCAGCAATTCTATATATTTACAATACACGTAAACCTTGTGTTTAGAGTTAACCATTTACGGTCTGATAATTTCCTGGGGCCAAATTCTGCTGTCTTGTCAAATATAGAATCGTATTCTAACCTTCTTATATCTTTTCCATAATTATTAACAGCAAGAAAAAAATTCATCTATGTCCCTTTATTAAAAAACTGCAAAATTACAATCATGCCACCACACAAAAATGCCTCAGTTTCTAATTGGTATCATTCCAATAAATATCGGCGGAGTAATTTTCATGTTCACTAACAATTTCATTGCGTAAAAAGTCAGATATTTTCTTAGTACTTGACACCTCTAGAGGTGTTTGTCCGTTTGCGTCCACCGCGTATTTATTTGCACCAGATGCGACCAAAGCTTCCACACCCCTGTAGAACCCATTTTCACAGGCTAGATGTAAGGGTGTCTTGCCCAACGTCCCAAAAACATCCAACGCTGCTTCACTTTCAAGAAGCAGAGTTAATATCATCGGATTCGCGGATTCACAGACGCTATGTAGCGGTGTGTTGTTAAAGTAGTCTGCAGCGTTCACTTGGGCACCAGACTGTATCAACCGTTTCGCCGCTGCGTAGTCACCTACGCTTACGCAGTAGTGTAGTGGAGTCTTGCCTTCAATGTCTCTACTATCCACGCAAACCCCTTTCTCTATCAAAAATTTGATTATGAAACCGTTGCCCCCCATACAAGCAGCATAAAGAGAGGATTTCCCAGTGGAATTAACATCGTATACACAAGCTCCCCTTGCCACCAAAAGACGAACGATGTCGAGCCTGTTTTTCATACACGCTAGATGCAAAGGTGTCCACCCTTCACCGTTTTTGGCACTCAAATCGCCGTCCGTTTTCAGCAAAAGTCTGACAATCGCATCAAGTCCATGTCGACAAGCCAAATGCAAGGCTGTATTTCCTGAATTATCAGTAATATTGGGATCGACGCCTCCACGTTTTACCACGATCCTAGCACAATCCACTCGTCTATTCCGACACGCCAAATGCAGTGGCGTCTCCCCGTTCAAGTCTCTGCCATTAACCACAGCCCCAGTTTGTATTAGCAGCGTAACAATATGCTCGAACCCCTTCTCACACGCTATGTGGAGCGCAGTCCTCCCGGAATCATCCTCTATGTTGAGCAAAGACCGCATCATCAGCATTAACTTCAATACTTCCACATTGCAGTCGGCGCAAGCTTTGTGCAGAGGTGTCTGCCCATTTTCAATTCGGATGTTTAGAGAAGCCCCATGCAGAATGAGAATCCGGACGGTTTGGTAGTTGCCCTTTCGACAGGCGTAAGAAAGTGGTGATTGGCCGTCCAAGGTCAAGGCGTTTACTTTGGCGCCCTTCCGGATTAAGAATTTGACGAGGTAGGGGTCGTCCTTCATGCAAAGCACATGCAAAGGTGTGTTGCAGTATGCGTCGAGGGCATTGGGGTCGGCGCCTCTTTCGAGAAGTATCAATATGACATCTTTGTTGCCTCTAATGCAAGCTGCGTGGAGTGGGGTTAGTCCTAATTGGCTTCTGACGTGGATGTTCTCACCTTCATCGAGGAGGGATCTGACCTTGGCGCAGTTGTTTGTGAGACAAGCTGTATGGAGTTCACTCCATTTGCCTGAAAATTGAATCGAAGTGGTAATGAAAATGTTTATGGGTAATTGGGTAGTTTATGGGACGTTTAATCTGTACACAATCTGGACAGTACTAGACAGTCCAGCAGTTGTAAGTCCACATTATTGACTCTGGACATTTGCTGTACAAATCGACCAAGTTTAAAGTTCATTTGAGACAATGGAGAAAGTTAAGTCAAGTCGGATCAGGTCATGTCAGGGCAGGTTATATCAAGTCAGGTCAGGTTATGTCAAGTTGGGTCAAATTTTATCTAACTAGAGATATTTTTATGCATACAATATACTTGTTTTATAAAAAATGGGAGCACGAGAGCTGAAAATTTGCTAACAATATAAGAAAACTTTCAGGAATCGACCGCTTTAAACGAAAATGCCGATTCTTGTGCCGTTTTGGAGTTACGTTCCGTTAAATTTAACAAAAAGTTGTTTATATTAGCGATTCCATAAACAAAAATCTATTTCAGGTTTTGTTTAATGTGAACCTTAGTTCTTGAGATTTATTTTTATTTAAATTTAATTGGTTCGCAATAAACCAATCCTAAGCCAGACAAGTAATCTTAATTTTTTTGTTATCAATATTTTGCTTAGTTTTAAACCTGTAGCCAGAGCTGTTCAGTACTTTAAGTACTTCAAAAACTTTACTCGAAGTACTTTTATATTTATGTACTTGGAGTATTTTTAAATGTACTTCAGTTTAGTACTTGATTTTGCCAAGGACTTTATCTCAAGTACTTCATTCAGTATTTTATATACTCCTGAAGTACTTGAAGTATGAAAGTGGAAACTTCAAATAGTTTAGTCTTTATTTTACGAAGTTTTCACATCTCAAAATAGGGTGTGTTAAATACTTGAAGTTATTAATTAATTCAATTATTTAATTAGATGTATCTTCATAGTAAAATCGTGTGTGTTTCCTGTAAGGTTATATTTCACAATATGACCTATATTTCATAGGTACTTGCAGGTACCGCGTCAATTCGTCGCGCGACAATTGATCGCAAACATTGATCAATTGGTCGCAGCGACAACTGGTCGCAGTCCCAATTCATCGCAACACAATTCGTCGCAAGTACAACTCGTCTCATGCGACAATTGATCGCAGGCGAAAGATGATAGCGTTTATAGAGAAAATAAGTAATAATTGTTATGAATGAGAAAAATAAAATAAAGTGCTATATTCTCAAAAATTTCATTATTTCTAAAAAAGTGTTAAAATAAATACATACAAGTTCCATAAATCTTTTATTGTGAATTAGTTCCTCCTAATTATTTGGTTTTTCGTAAAGATCGCGATCCAATTAAGAGTGGTATGGCAAGAGGTGGGGGTGTACTATTAGCAATTAATTCTAAGTTATGATGTTCTGAATTAGATCTCTCCTCTATATATGATACAGTTCCAAATATCGATATTGTAGGTGTAAAATTGTTATGTAAAAACTTTCGTAAGTTTTACATATTTGTTCTGTATATACCACCATCGATGTGTTACCAAGATGCCGAATTGTTCTTTGATGTTTTTAGTTCTTTAAATTATTTCTCAAGTTGGGATAATATAGTTATTGTAGGTGATTTCAACACCTCTGGTTTTATGGAAGGATCTAATGACCGTTTCAGCTGTTTATTAAATAATTTTATCAAATTTTGTAACAGTCGTCAGTATAATAATGTGTACAATTTCTACAACCATATTTTAGATCTTGTAATCTCCAATGTTACGTGCAGTGTCTTCAAACTACCATCTCCTTTTGTGAAAGAGGATCTTTATCATCCAGCTCTATTCTTTAATTTAAATTTAATAGCTGATGTTCTTCCTCACTTTAGCATGAATGACCAAGCTGATTCATTTAATTTTAAGAAGGCTGACTTTCAAAGTATGTATCAATTATTTTTAGATACTGATTGGTCCTCCTTGTTTAAAGCTAACACAGTTGATCGACCATGCTCAATTTTGTACGAATTAATTAATAGCGTCTTTCAAGTAACTGTTCCTAAGTTGCGGGTCAAACCAAGACAACAGCATTATCCTCCTTGGTTTAATGTTGACATTATCTCGTTGTTACAGTATAAGAGATTGGCGTATAAACAGTACAAGGAACTCAAAACTACTGAATCCTTTAATAAATTCAAGTTCTATCGCTCTAATAGCAAACAAGCCATATTTAACTCTTACAAAAACTATGTGGCGGATATTGAAAATCGTCTCCACGAAGATCCTAAACGTTTTTGGGAATTTATTCAAAGTAAAAAAGGCACGTCGCGAATACCTAGCGCTATGAAATATAATAACTGTAATTTTGATGATCCAAATCTCATTGTAGATGCATTTGCGGACTACTTTAATTCTGTTTATGTTCCATCTGATCCATCTGTTATAGCAGATAATTTTGATATTCGTGAGGTCGGTTGTGTCTCACCTCCCCAAATATTAGAAGAAGATGTGTTTAATGCATTAAAGAACTCTAAAAATACACTAACCATGGGTCCGGATGGTATTCCAAATTTTTTGTTGAAAGATTGCGCTTCTGTTTTCGCACAGCCGTCGGTATATATATACAACTTAATAATAAAAACATCCACCTTCCCTGCGATGTGGAAGGCGGCTTTAATATGTCCGGTTCTGAAAAAAGGTGATAAAGCAGACGTGAAAAATTACAGGCCTATTTCATTACTTTACAATTTTGCCAAGATTTTTTAAGGTATACTATACAAACATATTTATTCAGCGGTCAAAGTATATATTAGTCCCTCTCAGCATGGGCTTATGGATAAGCGTTCCACTATCACGAATCTAGTCTGCTTTACACAGTTTACATCAGAAGCAATTGATAACAGAAAACAGGTTGACGTGGTGTACCTTGATTTTCTTAAGGCGTTTGATCAAATCGATCATTACATTTTATTACTCAAGTTAAAATCATGTGGATTTACAGATGCGCTCCTCAATTTGTTTAAATCTTATTTATTAAATCGTGATCAATGCGTTAGGTATAGATGTTATGCGTCAAAAAAAATATTTCCTAGTTCTGGTGTGCCGCAGGGGTCGAATTTGGGTCCATTGCTGTTTTTACTGTTTATCAACGACATTACAAATGTTGTGTCTGTTGATAGCTTGTTATTTGCTGACGACTGTAAAATTTATAAAGTAATCACTTCTGTGGAAGACTGCATTGCCCTCCAATCCGATCTTGATAACATCTTTCAATGGTGTTTAAGAAATCGACTCTCTTTGAATATTTTGAAATGTTTAGTTGTGTCGTATTCTCGCAAGAAGTCAACTTTGTGTTTCCAGTATTTAATCAATAACACAAACTTAAATCGCGTTATGAATATTACTGATCTTGGTATTTTATTTGATGAGAAATTCACGTTCGTTCCACACATTAATCAGTTGGTTGCTAAAGCGCATAAAATCTACGGCTTCATTTATAGAAATGGTAAGGATTTCACAAAAGTACAAACTCTGAAAATGTTAGTCTTTGCGTTAGTGAGATCTCAGTTGGAGTACGGTTCGATTGTATGGCAACCTATCTATCAAGTCCATATCAACCGCATTGAGTCGGTTCAGCGTATGTTTCTTAAGTTTCTGTCATATTGTGAAGATGGAGTATATCCTCAAAGGGGAGTGCATCAGTTTCTTCTTCTGAAGCGATTTAATATTAATTCATTATTCAACAGAAGAATTACAGCTGGAGTCAAATTCATAATTAATTTAATCAACAACAAAATAGATAGTATATGGCTAACAGGTAAGCTGAATTTTCTAGTACCTAGACAAAATTCGCGTCAGCGTGAAATCTTTTACTGTCCTTCAAGTAATAGTAATATACACGTGAAATCCCCCATCATTTCAATGTGCAAAGTAGGTATGTAATAGTATTTTTAAAACCTGCGACCTGACTGATAATATTTCTGTTATCCTAAATGTGATAATCCAGGAATATGGCATATAAGGCATACGTATCAATTGGTAATAATTTCGTATTAGTGTCTTTCTTGCAGATTCACAATTTGCTTTATAGTAATTTGGTCAAATTTGATCTGTGGAATATTCTGTATTTTAATTTTATTCTAGCTAAATTTTTAACATTCAGCAACACAAAATTCTTATAATGTTTTGTTTTTTGTTTTTTTTTCCTTTCCCTGTAATTGGGTCTACCCCGTTGGGAAAGATGTCAATAATAATATTAATATTAATAATAATAATAATAAAAACGGTAACTAACATCCTCCTTTCCAACATTCTTATGTCATGGTGTAACATACTTAAAACCTAAAGATAACGACGCAAAAAATCCATCAAAATACAGACCTATCACATGTTTACCAACAATCTATAAAATATTAACCTCATGCATTACACAAAAAATATATCAACACTGTTTTAACTCTAACATCATTAATGAAGAACAGAAAGCATGTATTAAAGGATCATTTGGTTGCAAAGAGAAATTAATCATAGATTCCATCATCTGTGAACAAGCTAGAAAAGAAAACCGAAACATATATACTGCTTTTATTGATTATAAGAAAGCTTACGATTCTGTCCCTCATTCCTGGCTATGCAAAATTCTGGAATTATATAAAATTGATACTAAAATCTGCACTTTTCTCAAATGTTCCATGGAATTTTGGAAGACCACCCTCCAAATAACCTTAAATGAACAAACAATTCAGTCAGATCCAATTATGATCAGAAGAGGAATTTTTCAAGGCGATTCTTTTAGCCCGTTATGGTTCTGCTTAGCAATAAATCCCCTCTCCGATATCCTGAACAGCTGCAATTATGGGTTCAATATAAGAATTAACAAACAAAGAGAAAACAGAATAAGTCACTTGCTGTATATGGATGACATAAAAATATATGCAAGTACACAAAATCAGTTAACAAACCTATTAAATCTGACTGAACAATTTTCCGGTGATATTGGTATGTCTTTTGGTATTGAGGAATGTAAGACCCAAGCAATAAAAAAAGGCGTCCAACACCAAGTACCACATATAACCCAGAATAACGAAATAATCGAAGCCCAAGAACGAAATGATACATACATACAAATATCTGGGTTTCTGTCAATCCTCCCACATCAATCATACCAAAACGAAAACACAGTTGAAACAT